TACAGGACATCCTTGGTGTCTCAAGTCTAAGGACCAGATACACCACTAGAACTACGGAATTGTTGTCTGACAATAAGGCATCATCAACCATCCAGCATTCCGTAAGCGGATCAATCAGTGAACTCATTCTCCAATGAGCACCTGTACTGTATCCCTAGTGTCCCTACACGAGTAGCTATGAGACCAGCTGCATCCATCATATGGACGGGTATACAGCACACCGGTCTATCCGGTTATCACGATGTCCCTTTCGATTAACCTATGACCGGGATTATTTAGGATATGTGTTTAAAGGTGAATCGATCTCATTATCGTGATCTTATCACGATCCGATTCCCATTGCACAAATCCAAGGACATCACAATATATGTATGCATTTATGCAATAGTTATAAAGTGATATACGCCAAAATATAATAAGCAAAAAGATTCTATATCAAGTCACACGTGCCATCACTCAAGTGATTGGCTTGTTGGGCACCTATGACTAGCAGGAACTAAGGCGACTCAATTTGCGGAGGCGAAGTTGGGTTCAGAAGGCCTTAGCACGGGGCAAGAGGACGCAGAGGCGGGTGCTCTTGAAGAATATGCCACAGTGTTGCCATTCGAGTTGCTATGAAGGAAGCGGTGCGCAGCGGAGATTGTGCTGGTAGGGGCAGAGGCCCAGGATCCAGACAATGGTGCACAAATTACAGAGAAGTCGGTGGACTTCGGGAGCTACTAGGCGACGGACTGTCCTAGAGCGGTGCTTCATCTAGGTGTGACCCAAGAGTGGGTGGATGAAGGTCGATTGTCAAAGAAGCGAACAAAATCGAAGGTGGAAGAGACCCTACGATGTATTGGCAGAGGCCACACATGGAGGGTTCACAATTCGAGTTTATTCCACAAGGATCAGAATGCAATGGAGATGTCACCAGGAGGCGACATGGTGCAGCGGATCGTGGTGGAACAGTTCGTAGCAATGCGATACACACAACCTGGACCCGTGAGGGACTAGATCATATGGAGGTATGATCGGGAGCGCTACTAGAAGCTCCACTTCGGTGAACAACACGATGGCAAGAAGGGCTATGGATTCAAGGAGTGAAGGCCATGGTACCGCAGAGGCGGGTCTTCCGTGCGTGCATCGAATTTTGCATCGAATGAAAACCTTGGTCATCAGCATATGGGGGCTGTGTTCCACTAAGGTAAAAGTTCGAATGCAAGTACCAGTGAGTCCCATGGGAGGGACTTGATCATGCAGAGATATGATCGAAGCAGCTGGAGAGTTGGACTGCTCTAGAGCTTATATTCGCTTAAGGGAGCCCGGCAAGTCAAAGGACAAGGCCGAGTAAGCGAACGTTGCTACCAAGAAAGCTAAGGAGAATAGAATCGGTGCAAACCCTACAATGCGATGGCAGAGGCCATGCATGGGAGTGCAGTCTGTCTTTCCATCGACCAGAAGGAGCAGCTTGGAGAACACAGAGGTGTTGAAGCAGGGGGTCGAAAGGGGCGAGGAAGCGACGACGAGTCCAGAGGGACTTAGCT